TGAAGTTCAGAGCGCATTTTATGCCCAATTCATGCAAAACTCCATGCAATCCCAAGGGATTCACATACTTTTTCTTGCAACTGTATGACTGAGTAAACAAAATTGCTATCTGTGCTACCTGGAATACAATTAAACAATGTCTGAGAACAATAAGTGAACATTCTCCAGAGAACATTTTCTAATGGATGCTATTGATTAAAAGAAAACCAAGAACCTCATTATCACTCAGAACGTTACTGATGTACTCCAGGCAAGCTATCATGCAAGGTGCCTTAGCCAGGTATTCTTTCTCTTAGAATGAGATCTGTAGACTTACCAGATATTCAAAAACAAGAGTGAGGGAGCATTTTGTGTGAATGATATCGTGGAGAGTCACAATGTTGGCATGCTTTAGATTCTTCAGTAAGGAAACTGTAAGACAAAGCATAGCCATATCAATCACACATCATCTGAAGGAGCTGTGAGTTGGAATCACAGGCTCATCCAGACAGATCGGTTGGACTACCAGTTACATAATTCCCAGGAAACTTGAGGACAAAGTATGGGACATGTAAACTAAGGCACCTGGAAGAACAATGTTAATGAAAATTGACAACATATGAATTCTTAGGAATGGATCTAGAAAAATAGTTGGTATATATTGCTAACAGGGGTCTGGAAACCCCAAGCCTGCATCTTACCTTCCCGTATAGCAGTGCAAGGTGCCCCTTCTTCATGTTCCAACCTGATCTCCTTCAGCGCTACAAGATTCTTGGTGAGTTTGCTGCGTCCTTTAAATACAGTAGCATAAGTGCCCTGGGAAACAAAAGTAGCAAAAAATGCAATATATTTTACATCTTTCTCTTTCTCATTCTGGGCCTCCTTAACTTAATTCACACCTTAAACTTTTAAAAATTTGGATTAAAAAAAATTCTCCATTGTCACCATTTGCCAAACAAATTCCACAGAAAGGCTGGATCTAATTTATTATTGTTGGATTCCCCCCCCCCCCACATTTTAAAAAAAAACATTTGGTCAACTCAAAGTGGCGAACATATCTAATACTCCTTCCTGTCTTATTTTCCCACAACAAAGATCCTGTGAAGTAGGATGGGCTGAGAGGAAGTGACTGGCCCAAGTTCACTCAGCCATCTTTCTTTTTTAAAGGGGGCCTAGAACTCACAAGCTCCTAGTTTCTAGACCAGACCACAAAACCAATTTTGCTATTTTTTTCCTCCTGTCCATTCTAATATGGAAAGTACACTTAATTTAGGAAGCATACTCTGAATGGGCACGATGAGTGGCAGAGGTCAAAATCTTTGTGTCATCTGGTGATAAGCATGGCATGTGAACTGCAACTTGGACTATAAAAGGAATAAATGCCAAAAGGCATGAATAAAAGGAAAAATATGTTATATAAAATATAAAGGAATGGATGTAATAAATTCTAATGATATGCTCTAAGGCCGGGGTCTCCAACTTTAGCCACTTGAAGACTAGTGGACTTCAATTCCCAGAATTCCTCAGCCAGCAAAGCTGGCTGAGGAATTCTGGGAGTTGAAGTCCACAAGTCTTCAAGTAGCCAAGGTTGGAGACCCCTGCTCTAAGGCACCCAACAATATTTTTTTTAGTACACATAAATCCTATAGTGTTTAAATTCAGCTCAGAATTAGAGAGATTTTAAACATTTGAGCTCCTATATTTCAAATGCCAGTCTCCCAAAGCAGATTGCAAAAGTGAAAATTATCACAAAAATACAATAGGAGCTTGAAAAAGATGATGCATGGGACTGATCGTTCTTTGAGATTATTCTTACCTCTCCCAACTTTTCCAGTTTAACGTAGGTTTCCATTTTGCCAAACCCAATGTCTGACTACCATAAAAAAAAGGGAGAGAAGTATCAGTACAAAATGCAATATTAAGAAACTCACAACACAGGTCAACACATATCTATTAAGAAGTCTAGCCCATTGGACTGATTTCCAGGAGAAGCTTACCCACATAACCATTCTGTAACAATGTATTGCTTAAAATGAATTCTCTGGGAAATAAATGAAGGCAGGTCCTTGAACGTGCAGCTCAGCATCAGTTACCATGCAGAGTCACCAGTCAATTGCTGGTAAGAACCAGTTCTTTGACTTTCAAGAATCTTCCTTCTTTTCCACTGCGGAGCTTAAAACAAGACTGCTCACGTTCTTGTATTTACTTGGGGTGTTTTGCAGCAAGCAATATTTCTCATATTTACTTCTCAAATGGTCTTTGGTCAGCACATGCATCAATTAAAAGTGAGGATTGCGTGGGTGATTCTCTCCTTTGCTTTTGAAATATAAACATATTGATCCAGGAGTCAAGGCAACCAGACTAATTCGCCAGATATTCCCCATACCCCTTGTGTGGCACTAGAAGGCACAAATGGCTTTGCCCATTCACAGATTCTATTCCCATAGAATATTATAATGCTTGAAAAATGAACATTATCCACTGGGTTTAGGTTGAATTTTATTCAGCAAATATGGTGTATGTTTGCAAAACAATATATAGCAGTCAGGGGTGGGTTCTGGCAGTCACTACTGGTGGTTCGCTTGTGTGTGCGTCGTGGGCTTTGCACACATGCGCGGTACAATAAAAATTGTTCTGCGCACGCACAGTAGCAGAAAACAAGATGGTGGTGCCTACAGCGCCACCCGGAGAACCGGTTTGGGGATGTGGCAAGTCTGGGTCGCTGCCAGTTCCAGCAACCTAGGCTGCCAAATCACTACCGGTTCGGCCGAACTGGTCCGAACCGGTAGGAACTCACCAGTGATAGCAGTAATGAAGATGAGATGTGGATAAATCCTTCCAGGCTACTAAAAGGTTTTCTATGTGGAAGCATTAAAGATGCTTGGTTCATATTTCCCATTTTACTATTCAACAGCAGGTGGTGGTAAAGACACAATTTTTAAATAACAACAACAATAACAACAAGATTTTAAGAAGTATCTCATTCTCAATTCAATTAAAAAAGTGTTACTAGCTGGATTAGAACTATAATTTTTCATCTCTTAGTGAAACTGATACTCTATTTAAGGCAGTTTTTGTTTAGCAACCACAAATGGAACTGGGAACTTGATCATTAAGTGAAATGGTCACTAAGAAACTGTGACTGTGTTTCTGTCCTTCTGCCTTCCTTGGCTTTACAAACCTGCAAAGATCATAAATTCAAGGGCTGATTGCAAAGTTACTTTTTCATCATTGTCATTACTATGAATGATAGTTAAATGAGTCAGTTGCACATAAGAACTACCTGTATCAGAAAGGAAAACTATTAACATCATTATCCTACATTACTGTGAAAACATTTAAATCTTTTTTGTTAAGCTGAAACTGTAAGAATTGAGAGAAACTCTAAGCCAAGGGTGTTAAATTCGCGGCCTCTGGGTCAGATGCATCATACACTGGCCACCCAGTTTAGCAAAGAGGAAAAAGTCATGATACGTCACCAGGGCGATGCGGGTTTGACTCCCTTGCTCTAAGCAAATCTCTAGCCAGTGTTTGCAGTGATGATGTACCATCTGATGACATTACAACTGAACCGCAAAACTCTGGGCCAAACTGTGAAACCTCTTAAGAGTTCTTGAGACTCACCAGTGATGCCCGCCGTGACGTCCTGCTGAGAGGCTTAGAAATCTCTGGATTTTCCATTTCTAGTTTTTGGAGGAATTCTGGGGGGAGGTTAATATCCATGGGCAGAGAGAGACGCTTGCTGACATCCTGGGAAGAAAAATAACACATCACACCAGGGGTAGGTTGCTGCCGGTGTTACTGTCGGTTCAGTGCACGCACGCTTTGCTCGCACGCACACCTGCAGGCATTCGCAGTTGTCTGTAAATAGGTCTGTGCATGCGCAGAACATTAAAAACGCCAAAAAAAACCAAACCATGCTGCAGCGACCGGGGAACCAGTTCAGAGCCGTGGCCAGCTTGGATTGCTGGTGGTTCTGCGACCCAGGCAAACATTCTGCTACCGGTTCGCCCAAACCAGTGCGAACTGGTAGCAACCCACCTCTGCATCACACATATGATAAGATCTTCCAAACTGGATAGTGGGATCCAACTATGAAATGATACAATACAGCTTTAATAAATCCCAGGTTAAATCTAGCATTAGCTGTTGTGAGAGCAGCTTCTAGACTTGAATATATACACAATTATTATCTAACAAAATATACCTCAGGTTAAGAGAAAACTAGATAGGCCACTGATATTTGAGGTCAGCTCCCTTCGGTGTCAAGCTTGCAAGTTTATCTTGCTATGTTTAAAGGGAGGAGCCATCTCCCAGAACTCCATCAGCATCATTTCTGCCACTGGGCAAAGCTTGTCTATTAGTTTGTGGGTTACCTCCATAGAAAAGCGGCGCTGGTTGCCATTTCGATAATGCACAGAAGTCGGGGACCGACCTTCCAAAGGTGAGGCAGAACTGGACTGCATTCGGATATCCCTATTCAGGTGAGTTAGATGTAAATGTCCTTGTGCCATATCTGATCAGAAATGAAGAATAAATAGCAATTTACTAGGTGACCATAGAGACTGGCAATACCAGGGACAGTGTGTGGCTGACATAAATGCAAAGCAACCGAGAGCAAGTTTAAAAATTTAAATCAGCAGGTAAAGTATATATCATAAAGAAGGAGAGACAAACAAACAAAATCCCCCAACTTTGTTTAAAAACCCTTAGAGGCCAAACAACATTACACATTATACAAAATGTTCCACATTTGCAGACCTCTATCTCAATTTGATTTTGGCATATGTGCACATGTCTGTATGCACACATGTATACATACAATTAGAATATTAAACTGTCATTTTGAAAGCGAAGATCCCAATTTCTGACTGCAATCCTTCAGTGCTCTTGGTACACAGATGACTTACTCTCTGGAGAAAAATACTGTGGAAGTATTTTACATCCCTCGGGGTGTGTGTTCTGTTAAGATANAGTGATGGATAATCTTTTCCCCATTGCCTGCCAAATGCGGGACGGGGAGGAGCGCAGGGGGTTGTGCGTTTGTGTGCCCACACCCATAATGCTATGTGCCCAACCCCCATCATGCACATGCGTGATTGCTTCCCTCCCCTATATTTTTGGTGCACGATGGACCCATTTTGTACCCTCCCCAGGCTCTAGAGGCTTTCTAGGAGCCTTGGGAGGGTGAAAACAGCATCCCCCGCTGCCCCGGAGGCCCTCTGGAAACTTCAGGAGGCTTTCCTAAAACCTCTGGAGGGCGGAAAATGGCCCTACGGGCAATCTGGAAGTTCGGGAACAGACTTCCAGGTTTCCCGTAGGGTTGTTTTTCACCCTCCTGAAGGCTTTAGAAGGTGAAAAACAACAGAAAAAGAAGGCCGAAGTCAGCTGGCCAGTGCGTGCATGTGCCCTGGAGCTGACAGGGCAACGCTTCACGTGCCCTAACAAATGGCTCCGCCCTAACAAATTCCCAGGGAGGAAACCAAAGATACTGACTCCCTTCAGCACGTGGGAAGTAGGGGTGAAGTATCTGAGGGTTGGGATGTGGCATTTCTGATATCAGGCTTAGCAGGCAAAGTCACCTACCAGGAGAAAGTTTGTCAAAAGATCAATTCCTTCTGTGTCCAGCCTGCAAGAGAAGAAAGCATTGTTACATTTGAGAGACTCTTCAAGCAGCTGGCTCTTACTGCAGAACAAACACCTGAACAGGTGACTCCAGCTCTGATTAAAAGGGCCAGTTTCAAAGAAAAATGACCCAGATCAATTTCCCCAAAGTTTGGATTCTGGATGGCCCCGTTAGGTGCTGATGGTGGAAACTGTAGTCCAATATGCCAGGAGGATAGCAGACTGCAGAAGCTACTTAAAAATATTATTATTTTTTTTGGCAATTTGAGTTCTTTCTTAAGTTAGAGATGACACAGTGCAGTAAAAAAGCCTAGCCTTTACCTTTGCAGTTTGAAATTCAAAGCACTACTGCCATCTAGTGGCAGCTCCAGGAAAGAAAGTCCCTCATTTCCCCAATCTTGGGGACAATAAGAATGAAATATGTTGCATTGGGACAGAGAAAATTCCTCTGTGTTTACTGAGGGCAGTGCAGACAATCAACCACATTTTACAAGAGTTCTTTATATCATCATTTATTCTCGGTGTTGCTTTCTTTTGTTATTTCTAAGAGGACTGCTGATATTTTGCCCCTCGCAGTACTTGCAAACAACAGCTTTGATCCATAATAAATTGGCCTCCCCTTGATTCTGCCTCTACCTGGGTGCATGATTGATCAAGGGTTGGGCTCGATATTGTGTGAATTGGTAAGCTTTGAACTCCTCATTGGATGTGATGCCTGGCCAAGATTCTTCTGTAGGAGTTCCTGCAAGTAAAAAAAAAAAGGATCGGATTAACATTTTTTCTAGATTTACATGCAGATTGGCATGAGATGTTCTATATCTATCTATCATGGGATTTAGATCCCTGAAAATTTCAAATAATAAAACCAAAACTAAGAAATTCCTATGTAGGGTAGGGCAATGTAGAAATTCAGGGAAAGCAGAATACAATGTTTATTCAACCTTGGCACTTGAAGATGTGCTGGAGAATTCCACACACCTTCATGTAACCAAGGTTGAAAAATACTGCATTCAATTGGCAACACTAAATATGTGCTAGATTAGCACAGGTTGATAATGACTAATGGTTAACATTTAATAGTAATGGTTATGGATATGGATTTACTATTCCTACCATCCTGAGATCCTTTCAGTAAGAAATACCACACAATGAGTCTGACAAATTGTGCCCCCCCTCCAAATTTATCCATCATTTTGCTATGGCACCTGCCTTCTTTGAAAAGAAGAATAGAACTCCTTTCCTATAACTCTTGCAGTCCATGTTTTCTTATTCCAATACTTGCAGTTTTTATCTTTGTTTTATTTCTGTGGCAACAATTGCTTATATAATAATATGCAATAATATTCATGATTTTCTGAGAACACAAAGCATGAATATGGAATTAATTACACAAGTGTATCTCTTTGGTAAAATAAAACCTGAAGGCAATCATTTGGGTTGTCTTGCTATAGCACTGTTCCTTGGGCAGAGTTCCATATGCTCTAACCTTCCCCTGCTCATTTATATATTGTCATTTTTTTAAAAAAAAATTGCATCATCTTCTGTTCAATTCAGAAACATAATGAAGAAGACTCACCCAACATTCTGAATATTAAATTAAGTTCTTCTTTCACAGTGGATCCTGGGAACATTGGACGTCCTGTGACCATTTCATAGTGTATGCAACCCACGCCCCTAAAAGGAGAAGTCTTATGAAGTCGAATGGAGCAATGTGCTGCCTCTTAGGTTGCCTTGTCTACCTCTGATTAATTCAGACTCTGAAAAGGATGCTGAATCCTGAATGACCCCAGAAGATCAGGCAAGAGTGATTGCTTTTCATATTGAATTGCTAACCAGACAAGAAAGGTTTCAAGGAGCATGAAGGAATGAGTTGCAAAAATCTAATTTCTTCCACCCTCTGTAACATCCTTCCCCTGAGAGTTTCATTCTGCTAAGTGGGTACTTGCAAACTGCACTGCCATCTTATTTAGAAGATGGTCTGTAACATTATAAAAGCTTTGCTTTCAGCATGCTGTGGAATTTGGAAAAAGCGTGTATTGAGGTTAGCCAAACTACAATTTCCTAATTTTAAAAGGAACTCTAGGAAGAACAATCATTTCTACCCATGCACAGACATTAGGGCTTACCACATGTCTATGGGAGTGGAATATTCTGTAGATCCTAGTAGGACATCAGGAGGTCGGTACCATAATGTGACCACTTCATTGGAATATGTCTTTGTTGGGACAGACTTGGCTCTGGCTAGACCTGAGGATAAAATAAATGCCAGTGAGATTCAGCTACAGCTATTAATTAAGACTTATATTAAACCCATATTTGTTTTAGATAAAACAAACCTGTTTTTACAAAGAAACTCAATGCTTAGAACAGTGGTGGACATCACAGTTCTGCATGAGCCATTTAGTTTGATTGATTCACTTAGAGAACTAAGTTCATTAAATTCAATGGCACTTGTTCTCAGTAATAAAACAACTACAAGATGCTTCTGAAAAAAAAAAAGGTTCGTACAATCTCATAACTTGGATAAAAGTCCAGTTCACTTGTAAATGATATACAGGAAAATATTAGAGAAAAATGGGGGAAGTTTCTTGAGATGTGTGACCCTAATATTAAAAGTATCCATCAAAACATCATGGCTTGGGACCAAGTTATCTGAGGGACCGTCTCTTGCCGGCCACATCTACCCAACCCATCAGAACAGGGATGGCAGGAAATGTTGCGGGTCCCATCCCTGAGGGAGATACACCTGGTGGGACCCAGAAGGAGGACCTTCTCTGTGGTGGCTCCCTCTTTCTGGAACATCCCCCCCCCCCGAGATTAGAATGGCCCCACTCTAATACTCCTCGAAGACCTGGTTCTGCCAGCAGGCCTGGGGAACCCAGTGTGAAATGGAGCCCATTAAATGACTTGTGTGATCTGCTGTCGCCAGGGCAGGGGGTGGGTGGGAGGTGGTTTTGTTATATTGTACTATATTAATTTATTTGATTCTTTTTCTTAGTTTTTATTGTTTTAAATGTGGTTTTATATTCTGTAAGCTGCCTTGAGTCGCCATGGGCGAATATGCAGCAATATAAATAAAATAAAATACAAATAAATAAATAAACAAATCTGTTCTGAAGGCCAACACATAAAATTCCCCCCCCAAAAACCTTAGGGAACCCATGGGGATCCTGCTAGGTGGTAGTGTGATATTAGCTAATTATTATTTCCTATGTTATTTGCTTTTCCATGCTTTTTGGGGGAGTTGTGTTCAGTATTTTAAGATTGGCTATGTTGTTTTAATTGTCGCTGTGTTTGTATGCTGCCCAGAGTCACATTATGTGAGATGGATGGTCATATTAATTTGCCAAATAAATAAATGTCATTACTCTGAAAGCCAAGGAGATGGTCTCATTCACCAACTTACCAAAGTCGGCAAGTTTTAGTTCTCCTTTTCCATTAATAAGCAGATTCTGTGGCTTGAGATCTCTGTGTAGGATCTTATGCTGATGGCAGTAGGACAAACCACGAAGCAGCTGGAACATGAAAATCTTGAAGCAAGAGAAGATCAGAGAAGAAATAATTGGTAACATTCAGAGTTTGTTTTTAGGAAACACAGATTTCTGAACCAGATGCCTTCCAGATATGCTAATGACCAAGTGTTGGGAATTATGGAAAGAATAATCCAATATATTTCCAGGACATTAAATAGAGAAAGTATGCACAATTCTCTCATATGTTTATTTTCCAAGAGAAGCCTTTGCAAAGGCCAATCTTTCTATCCATCTGTCTGTCTACTCACCTTCACATTGTACATGCTCATCAGATTCCCACAGTTATCTAGGTACTGTTTCAGGTCGCTGTCCTGCAAAGATAAGCATATCCTGAGGGCATAACTTGCTATGAGGAATGAGATGCCCACAATTTCTTCAGTATTAGAAAATCAAATTATGTTTCCCAGGACTTCAGAAGAACAAGATATGTTTACAATTAATTATTACCTCCAACAAAACATAGATTATATTAAGGCTTATTATACAACTCTGAACAATGAAATCTTTTCAGATATTTTTGCATCATGTAAAATGAATATGCAGGCACAAGTAACTGTTACAGGAGATACAAAGCTAGCAAACATACGCAATACAGATGCTATTTAAATGTTTCCTGATAAGCACATCTGTTTCAGAAAATTCAAGTTTTCCCAAATGTTTTGGTTTTTTTATAAAAGATTTTTTATTTTTCAACATACAAACATTTCATCTTAAACAGTGTGTCATTTGGATACAAATATCTCTGCACAACAGCTCTACAAATCATTCACATAAATATTAATTCTCTAATCTCAAAACCTAATCTTAAAACCTCCACCCCAACAACCCAAACTAGGCATGCAGGCCCCTTACTTTTCTCAACTTCCTCCAGATCCACTACTACAGACCTTAAATGCAAACTAGTTAACGCAAGAAGCCTCGCAAACAAAATGCCTGAAATCCTCCTTTTACTAAAATTGTAGTATATTAAACAATTGAACATTATTAACCTATTCATTTTCCTCTTAACAAAAAAAATTTCCCAACCCTAAACCATATTTTGCTAGTGCTAAGAAAATGTGCTCTGAACTTCATCTAAGTCACAATAATAGAAAAACACAGTCTGCTGAA